CTCATAATGTCTTCAATATCGGTTCAAATCTCGATGTGGCGGGCTCGAAATGACGAGAGGACCGTGCGCTATCAGTCACGCCGCCGATTCCTCATCGATGTTGGTGGGCGCGGTATTGCACTCGCAATACCGGTTTCTGTCTGCGAGGCGCACGTAGCACCATAATATGGGCGGCAGATAGATTTTTCTCATGATTTGTCGACTCAACGGGGCAGTTTGCAGGTGCGCACGATTAGTCTGGGACAGGTGGATCAGTGGGAACTTGGGTATGGGAGAGGGACGGGCCACTCGAGTGTGGCGTGAATTAGGCGCCTGTTTATGTAATCTGCAGCTCACGCGTGAGCTGCTCTCTGCTGGTCAGCTTACCTCTGAAATTGTGTAGTATGTCTGATAGAAGTTATTATGCAGCATGGCACCTGGGTCATATGACTGCCTGTGATTGTAGATGACCCTATGTATCATGAAACCAGCCACAGCTCGTGAGCGGGTCTGAATATGTGTACAAGATCACTTTTGGTGGTAAGTTCGGTTCGGAGTGTAAGTTCGCTTTGCTGTTGCCTTGACCTTTTGCTCGGGGTAAATGATCTTGTGTCAGTAACTTTGCTTGCTCACACGTGTATAAGGCTAGACTATGGTAAGTTCGTTTGGTAGCTTAAGTTTGTTTCTGCACGTCGGACGAGCATACTCAAATGTGTATACGCGTAGACTATAGTAAGTTCGTTTCCTCCGTTAAGTTCGTTTCTGGATACCGGATGGGAATACTTATATTTGAATACCTGTGGATTACAGTAAGTTCGTTTCTTCCGTTGAGTGCGTGTCGGGGGAGCACACCTACTGTGGTATATGCGTAGACTAAAGTAAGTTGGTTCTTCACTTCGAACTGTTTCCTACAGTAAGTTCGTTTTGTGCAGTAAGTTCGTTTCTCAGCGTAAGTTCGTTTTGTGCAGTAAGTTCGTTTCTCAGTGTAAGTTCGTTTCTCAGCGTAAGTTCGTTTCTCAGCGTAAGTTCGTTTCGTGCAGTAAGTTCGTTTCTCGGCGTAAGTTCGTTTCGTCAGTAAGTTCGTTTCTCGGCGTAAGTTCGTTTCGTGCAGTAGGTTCGTTTCTTGTGTTAGTTTCGTTTCTTGTGTTAGTTTCGTTTCTTGCGTTAGTTTCATTTCTCACTGTAAGTTCGTTTCTCACTGTAAGTTCGTTTCTAGGCTTAAGTTCGTTTCTCTCAGTAAGTTCGTTTCTTGCGGGGTCCGAGTACAGTAAGTTCGTTTGCTAGTTAAGTTCGTTTGTGCATGCGCTAAGTGCGTGCGTCGGAGAGCACTCTTTTTGGGGGTCTCTCAAATGAAGATGCTCACAAGGGTATGAGGGACCCGTTAGGCGCTCCGTCGAAAAAAGCGATGCTACGTAGTAGCATCGGGACGCAGGTAGCTAGAAACGCTCTCAAACATCTCTGCCATATTTTTCATCCCGTCACGCTCAAACCCACACCCAACCCTCGCCCCATCATTTATATTACGCCTCCGTCAAAAATGACACGAAAATACCCAAACGAACACGACTCTGACGTCACTCCCTTCCTTCCACACGTCTCCTGCATCTCGAATCACGCTCCTATCATCACGCTATCATCACGCTCCTATCCGACACGCTCGTATTTTCACTCACATCGACTCTGCCCGACTTATCACGTCGCACCCACATCTCTGACGCTCATCTTCACCACCTTCACACACCTCAAAAACATCACAAACACGCTCTATTCCACCGACACGTAAAACACGTCCTCGTCACGACCCACTCAAC